CAATCTATACCACAAGCTCCCTGCTGGCATTTACACTGATTGTCACCCAGTGTGGCATTGTAAAAACACTCAGACCCATTTCCCTGTCCATTGCACAGGCAGTAAGCATCTACCTCGACTTCTCTAACTGCATAGTGATGCTATGAAGAATACAACATCACATTGAGTGTCAAGGAACCAAAACCAGAGTAATCACTCTGGCCAATAACAAGGGACTGACAAACAATCCAATGAACCAATCAGTCTGAATCCAAACATGAAGTACACGCAAATTGTACATGAAAACAGCAAAAAAAGAGAGGAAAAGCATGCAAATCAGTCACAATTGGTTTAACAGAATACTTCTGATTGGATGACAAAGTGACAAATCTCTTTCAAAACTCATGAGATTGAGATTTGACTGCCCATATCAAGGAGACCAAAAGTGATAAATTTTCTTATTATCCAACTGCAGCGAATACCGTCCAAATAACAGTTACTGTACAAATATACAGCGATATTGTACAGTAGAAAACCTGTTTGCTGTACAGGTCGGCGCACGCAAGCAAAACTGTGACCGTCTCTCCCTCTTTCATTGATAAATTCATTGACTACAGTAGTTTGATAATAAATCTCTTATTAGATGTTTTGGTGTGTAGCATCGCTTTATATTTTTACTCATCGTTTGTATTTTGACTCGCCCTACAGGCTCATCAAAATATGGCACAACTTGTGAAAATATAGTGCAATACTACACACCAAAACATCTAACAAGATATATATATCTTGGTTCCTCCTTGATTATCCAGAGAGTTGGTGGTTGTGATATTCCTCTATTCCTATCACTCGGTAAGACACCTCTCCTTGGAAGAAAGCAGATAGTCAAATCCTTTAACCCGTCTTCTAAAGACAACTGGATCACGCAATGTAGTGTTGTGAAATAAATATACCAATTAAAAGAACTTGGAAACTCCATGATAACAGGTTTATTCTTACCCATCTCTCAGCATATAGATCAAACATCAGGTGAAGTGACATAAAATCCAGCCGTATATTGGTAACATTCATCCATTGCTGAGACAAATACAAATGTACAATGTACAGTGCATTAGTCATTAGCTTCATACAGAACACTGATCAGAGCTATATTACAGTCAAACCTCTATTACACAGCCACCCCTTATTAAGAGGCCAGTTACCAAAGTCCCGAAATCATTGTCAGTAAAATGCTGTAAATAAAACCCCCTACTAACTGGCTACCTTTGTTGAGTGGCCACAGCCACCTTTTGATCATTCCGATGAGGGTTTTCCTATTGCCTTTACCCCTCTTACACACCCACTCAAAATTTAATACACATAGTTTGTCTTTTTTTGGAAAAGGTAATAACAGATAAGAGTCCAATTAAGGGATGATTGATAAAAACATTCAAACACACATTTATCATGATTGTCTTGATGTGATTCCATATTCACTAAGCAGTTAACTCAATGGTAAAAAATATTCAAAGTCCACCAATCCCTATTACGCGGCCACCTCCTGTTTCCCCAAGGGTGGCCACTTTATTTTGTAAAATATTAATAGGATGTATTTATTTTTGTAGTACCTACACATGCAAATTAAAATAATTGTGCAGAGACTGCCGCTGTCAATATTCTTCAGCTGTTATTTTTGGAAGGTTCTTTAAACCTCTGTTCACGCATATTCTCTAGTTCTTAAATATTCCCAGAGGCATGTCGCAAATGAGTGAATTGCATAATTTTAACCATCAATCATCAATTATACCATTACCGAAAATCCTTGAATTAGCGCCTCCTCTCAAATAAACAGCCCTCCTATCGACCAAAATTTAAAATAAGGACCTCCCCTCGAATAGGCACCCCCCTCCCCTATCCCTGTTTTATATGCAAGAGTACTTAGAGAACAGAGGATATATTAGTTTTGTTCATGTTCAATCACAAGCAAGTGATCTCCTTCAAAGCAACTCCTTCAAAGGCCTAGACTAGCTAAAGGGGTTATATCACGTACATGTAGTTCAAGAGAGCCAGAATATCCTTCTGAGACTTCTGAGGGACTGACACATACATACATGTATATTACAAAAACACCAATGGTATCTGACCACAATTTGGGAAAAAGTAAATAA